TGTATGTATGTATGTATGTATGTATGTATGTATGTATGTATGTATGTATGTATGTATGTATGTGTCTGTCCGGTTGCTTCAGACTGGTAACCAAGTGTGCTTAGATATTGAAGTTTTGCCGGTTGGCACTGGCCAATTGCGACCGGAGGAGCATGTTGTCAGTTTTCGCGGTTTTGCCGATTGGTCACTGGCCAATTGCGACCGGAGGAGCATGTTGTCAATTTTCGCGCACGTATGGATGCGTGAAAGTTTTGGTAGAAAATTATTAACTTGGGAGTCAGAAAGGCTAAAAAGCTCAAATATTAAGAGGATTTTTTTTCCGTTGCTTGCGATTTGTTGAATTTGCAAACTCATCCTGTTATTTCTCTTCTTGCAGCATTTTTTGGCCGATTTTTTGATATGTGCTGAGGAATATTCGCTATGCAAACTGCGGCAAATTTGTATGAACACGTTCAAATTGTTCTTGTTGAAATTTGAGCCTGTGGCTCGACTACTAATTATTCGGAAATTGATCAGCATGATCATGAAGAACGAAATACAGTAAGCCTTTGAGAAATAATAAGCTTCGGCGTCTTTACTTCATGAGAAATTGAAGAGCGAGCGCTATGGCGTCTCTCTTGATCACCATATAAAGACAGTCAGACCCCCCTTCAGATGAGCATTGCCCAGAATATCATGCTACGCGAGAAAGTGAAATTGTGCGGGTGGGACACATTGTCGACAGTCGTCGTATGTCGAGCATTAGTGAGTGGTATCCGCGACAAAGTAGTCGACCATTCGGGTATCTCCAGAAGAACTCGCACAAACACTGGCAGACTATGGATACTAAGTGAAGGTATGCAGTCTAGGTTTGAAAGGCTTGGTTCATTAGAAACATTTCAGTAACGATCATTAACGTAGGACAACCATTCTGATTTTTAGTCGGTCTTGGTATTCTTGGTATTTCAAAAAAATTTTTCTTGGAACATTTTCTCTTTCACGTTTCATTTCTTTTAATTTTCTGTTTCACGTTTCATTTCTTTTAATTTTCTGTTCACGTTCCATTTCTTTTAATTTTCAGAAAGCTGGAGTTCAGCGCAGTCAATTCCACAGAGCCTAACGCGTAAGTTCCATAAATTTTTATTAAGAAGTTATTTTTTTCAAGTCCTACTTATGGACAAATCGGCCAACTGCAAGTCTAGAAACCCTGTTGTTGCTAGAATTTGATCACTTGGAGCGCGATGCAAATTCTTTTTTATTCTTTTGTCAAATGTTGTCACGCATGACCTAACTGCAATATTTTATTAGCAAACTATCACTTTTGCGGACCCAATAATTGCATTCCACCAGTAGTGCATAGTGCAGCCGTTACTGTTTCTGTTCTGTCAATACTGAAGATTGGAAAGGAAAAAATAATTTTCGAGTTTTCACCGGTTTTCTGTGTCTAAAAGTACTGGAGGCACTTGATTACCAAGTGCTGTCTCGACCATGGGAAAGAAGCACGCGAGTTCTCGTCGGAAGAAAATAACGTAGTTTTTTGGATACTGTAAATGACTCTTTGGGAACTTTCCAAATCTTCAACGCGAGCAAACGAATCACTCAGGGGCTTTTATATAAATCTGTGGATGTTAATGCTTGTAACTGGAAGAGCTACCAACGTTACGAGCTGCATCAGTGGCGGGAAGGTGTACAGTTGTGGAATTACAATTTTGCACAGGATCACCTTCAAAGTGTATGTTACTGTTCACTCTATGTGGAATTTTCAGGTTAAATTTTGAGCCGCAGTTGTTTGCATGGCTCATCGATCTGTATCGCTCTAACCTCAACCATGATGAATTTCGCCGGGAGCTTGGCTTTCTCTGGGGTGACTTATCCACAATACGTTACTCACGGCTTGCTGATGCATTGCAATATTTCATATCTGTTTTTGTGCTTGCTCAAGATCAGGCGTTGCGCAAATTCAATCCCCACTTAATGCTCAATATTTACCACCATTATCTCTTACCGATGAAGGTAAACCTGTGCTGCTTTAGAGTTTGCATAATTATTCTCTTACCATTTACAGTATAATTATTGACTTTGTTGGAGAAAACACGTGGAAAGTCAAAACAGAATCCTTGTGGACTTCAGACAAAGAATATGAACGTATTTTCTAGTCAGCCAAGAATTAAATGATCAGATCTCGAGCAGTTTCAGAAGCTGTATAAATCCTCTTATTGTTCCTCCATCACCTCCACATCCCCTTTCTCCGTTCCTCCTTCTGCTCCTCCCATTCGACACGGATACAAGCATATATGCAAGAAAAAGTTTACTGTCAGAGCGATTTAGGGGTGTTTGTTGGTTTCGTGATGGTTATGCGGTATGCTAAGAGTTTCATACTGTAACTTGCACAAAAGAGAGCTTGCTCACTTGAATTGAGTTTACGAATGATCTTTAGGCGGTCATTTCTTGACAGACGACCGACGTATGAGAAGGGAAGTAGGTCATGTCCTAAATAAGTCTGATCAGCATTTTTCTTTTTTCCTTACCGTTCTTGTCTCCCAGCTTTTTCTCACGAAAAAATTACAAGCACTAGTAGTATGGCAGTAAAACACACAATTGTCAAACAGTATTTAGTAACAACTTAATATTCATAAATTTTCTAGTAATTTGTATTGACAAAAATTATATAAAATATTGACCTTCAAAATTTTGGCATTAAAAAACTTTTAAATTGATTAGGTACAAATATCGGATTGGTCGACTTTGGTAAATGCGCAAGCAAAGCACGAAAACGATGCCAGTCTTGCTACACCAGCGGAAAAATTGGCAGAAAATATGGAAAATCTGGATGCGGAAGCACGCCGACAACAGGATTTGCAATCGCTACCATTGCTGCAATTTCAGTTTACACAAACTTTACAATTTGCGGAAGGGTTTCTGCGTGAAAATGGCTTACTTTAAGAATCTTTTAGCAGTTGGTGTAGCCTGCTAAGAAACTTGTGTTTGTTCATATTTGTAAAAGTGTTCGGAATTCTGGCTGCCGTTGCGAAAATCTGAAAAGCTGGCTGATCTGAATTTTTTCTGAAAGTATTCGCTGACAGAAATTTTGCAAAAGCCTTATACTAAATAAAGATGGTTTTTTTCAGCAAAAAACTAGAACTCATCCCCTCAGTTTCTGATTGCATGACGTGCAAAATCTCGTGAAAACATTGAATTTCCCTTTAGTTTACCGGAAATTTTGCTCTCAAGCTTGAGACAGTGGTTCAGATTCTCATTGTGTTTCTGTGTACTTTTAACGAGAAATTTTTCATGTGCGTTTTTTTTTAATATATATGTATTCTTTTGTTGCATAATAGTGAATCAAAAAAGAGACACAGCAGCAATTTAACAAATCTTTCATTTGGCGAAAGTTTTGGTCTCGAACTGCAAATTTCGAAATTTTCAACCGCCGAACAAGAAATTTCACTACTTCGTCTTTATTCTTTGTTGTTGCATGTTAAGACGAATGTTTTAAAATTCAGTATTTTCATGGCTGTTTTCTGCATATCAAGCATATTTCTTTAACTTTGTAAAGCAGAAAAGCAGAATAAAACTTTATAAAAAATACACAATGTAAAAATTCTGAAACAAAATGCATCTTTTCAAATGAAAATTGAGCTGCTTTATTTACGATTTGTTTCATTCCATCATTTTTCACTTTATCATGAATTCTGTTGCACGGAAATGAAACATGGAATACCATGCTCAATAAGCAATGAAGTGATGCTCAGTGATGCTTGGGTCACCCAATAAGCGATGAAGGGATGCTTGGTTCGCGACACCGGTCAGCAGCAACTTCGCTGGTAGTCTCCGGCATAAGTGGCACTCACTATCAAATTGAACTAAATTAGGAAGAAGAGCTGGGCTGGTCATATGACAGAAATGAGAGACTTTTTAGAAGTCCTGAAATTCTGGCTAAATGTATACTAGCTGGCTTAATTACACACATTTTTTGTCCGTTGTGGGTAGTTCTGAATTTGACATCATAAAAAACAGAGCTGCATCTCTCTCTTCCTCCTCACTGGTGGCACAAATGAACTTTTTCTCAAACTAATTCCCTTCGTAGAATTAATTCGATCTTTGGAAAATTTTTTTCACTAAAATAAAGTTCAAGAGATTCAGTCAGGTGAAGATACACAGTTATTTGTTGATTCGTCAGTCTTCCGCCTAATTCAAGCAATCGCGCGTTTCACCCTTGAATTTCCCGGCCAGCTGTATTGTTCCAGCATCATAAATTTTCTTTGGTGTTTTGCCCGACGAAACGTACGCATCCGGAATGTACACCGTAATCTTACGTTGACAAGGCTGAAACAATTTTCTTCGGAATAAGCCACAACTCATTTTTATCAAAATCTGCTCGCATTGTTTATATAAATTATCTACAGTTGCGTGACAGGCAAAAGTCCTCCTGTAACTCGAGAACTATACTTAGAAGGAAGCTGTGCTAATATACAGAAGTTTTTAAGTTAGACTCCAGATCTCTAGTTATTGTACATACGCAGCTTGAATTAAGGTAGGGTTTAAATCAGACACAGAGGAAGCTAAAAGCTTAAACATGGCCGACCAGTTATAAAAAAAACGCGAAGCCAGTGGGACACATTACAGCTATATAAACGGATAGCCCCAGATACGCTGTTTTGAAACAGCTTAACTAATCAATTTATAGGCTTGTTTAAAAATATTCGATCTTTCTTAGTCCATTTGGTTGTGCTTCCAAAATTTCGGAGACGCTTGATTAGTTTACAAGAGAAAAGAGTTTTGTGATGTTAGCTATTGCAAATTCCCAACATAGCTGCATCGACTCTTAATGAATGCTGTTTTACACAAAAGCTAAGCGTCCGCTTGTTAAAAAAAA